CTCACAGCCTAAGTCACACACTACTAGGCTCACTAGCCTAGATCACACTCACACTCAATCATAGCCATCGATATCCTCATCTACGGCTCCATATCGGCGGCCCTCTCAACCGCCTAACCTCCAAGGTTAACCGCCTAACCGCTGTGCACGCACGGCGGCGCTCACTAGTTCAAACCCTAACTCGGTCCGAACCCTAATCACGGAGTAATCCGGCTGACCATAATCACCGGATTCTAACAGCGCACCTCAAAGGGACGCCGAGGGAGCATCCAGAACCGCAGACCTATCAGGAAGCCGGGAGAGGAGAAGAGAGTGAACTCTGGCGGAAGTCGATGTCCAGACGACGAGATGCGGTTTTTGTTGGAAAACGGGACCTGGGAGCTCGTCAAAAGCCGGAAGGGGTAAAGCCGATTCCGATAACGTGGATTTACAAGATTCAGCAGGACGCCTTCGGAGATGTGGAGCGGTACAAGTCCCGGCTGGTGACGAAAGGGTACCTGTAAAACCGGGAAATTGACTTTGAGGAAGTCTACACCCTGGTGAGCAAGCATACCACATTGCGTGCATTCTTGGCGGTGGTCGCGGAGCGCGACTTGAAGCTGCACCAGCTAGATGTCAAACCGGCGTTTCTCAATGGGGAATTGGAGGAGGAGATTCACATGCAGCTGCCGAGGGATTCAAAAAAGGCGGCCCAAACATGGTCTGCGGCCTCAAGCGCACCTTGAACGGGTTGCTTCAGGCGCCGCGTGCGTGGCATATGCGTCTAAGGGAGGAGCTCGGGAACTTTGAATTTGTAACGTCAATAACTGACACCAGAATAGTAGCCGGGGAGCTGATCTACCTAGTGGTGTGGGTGGACGACATTCCAGTGGCGGCCCGGGGAGGGGATTGCATTGCAAAGGCGAAGGAGTATTTGGGGGGGAAATTCGCCGTGCGCGATTTGGGGGAGGCGAAATACTTCCTCGGCATGGAGCTGACGCGTGATAGAGAGGCGCGCACCTAAGCTGACGTGAGAGCTTGACGGCGGTATGGACTAGCGAGCGCTCGAGCGTGCTCGTTCCCTCTCGAAATAGAAGACAAATTAACCGAAGAGTGTGAATCCCTCCACACAAAGCGGTTTCCCTACAGTGAGTGCATAGGGGAGTACTTGAGTGTGTGCAGTAGGCCCAACATTGCACAAGCAGTTGGCGCGCTTGCGCACTTTATGGCAGAGCCGACGGAGGAGCACTGGCGGGCGGCGCTTGGCGTTGTGCGCTACCTAGCGGGTACGGCAGAGGACGGGGTAATCTTTGGGGGGAGCGGAGAGAATTTCACCGTTTATTGCGACGCCGATCATGCGGGTGACGTGGACACAAAGCGGTCCACAACGGGATACGTTTTCTTGATGTACGGAAGGGCGGTGCTGGTCGAGTAGGCTGCAGCCATCGGTGTGTTGAGATTCGGGCGTTACTTGAGTGAGTACGCCCTAATATCCTAGACAATTCGTAGCCGTCGATTGAGGTCTCGGTAGGCCGAGTATCGACCGTAGGATGGCAAGTTATTTGGTGTGTTATTCACGCAATATCCACCGTCCGATTGTGAGTCGAGTCGAGTGATTTAGGAGCCCCGACCACTAGTGTGTAGTAGCCCCGACCTAGTAGTACGGTACTACCAACCACCTCGGTATACTACTACCGACCACAAGTCCGAGTGGTAATTAGCCCATATAGCGAGTCGTATAGTGACCCGAGTGCGTCATATAGTGACCCGGTCACTTGGATAGGAATTCATATAGTTGAACCGACTAGTGCCCGGTAGAGGTGGACTAGGCTAGTAAGGCTAGGGTACACCTACCTACGGATTTGGAATGCCTTGGACATTGCCATGAGATGGATATTCATTTCTGGTGGTTGTGAACTTGAAAGGCGCTTGCTTTCAACAGGTTATGGGCCCACAACGCTAGGGAGTGAGGAAGCCATTGCTAGCAACAACAATTCTAGGTTGGTGAAAGGTATTCCAGTGGGGGGTGGCTAAGTAGGAGTGACTCGAGCACTGCGAGCACTTTCCCTGCGACGCCAGTGAAAATACCCACAAACCTTTCTCGGCACAAAGGAGTGCCCAGCCCAAGAAGCGTTGGTTGGCTAGCAGTAAAAATGGCTGAAGGAGTGAAGGTCAACATAGAGCCTTTAGATGTTGACAACTATACGGTGTGGTCACAGAGATTGCAACTTCTCCTGACACACAATAAGTTGTGGAAAGGGGTCACGGACCCGGCCGGTGATGCGGAGAGGACCGATGAAGCAAGAGCTTTGATAGGCTTGCACGTCCGGCAACAGCACCTAGGGGCAATCTTAGCAGCTGAGAATGCCAAGGTAGCTTGGGACGTGCTGAAAAAGACCTACAAGAGCAAGAGTGCGGCTCGAAAGTTGCAACTCCGGCATGAGTTGAGCACCCTCAAGATGCAATCCGGTGAGTCCGTTGCCGCCTATGTGGGTAGAGCCCAAGACCGGTACCGGGATTTGCTAGCCGCCGGCTCCGACATGAAGCCGGATGATCTATCCTTTAGCGTGCTTGCCGGGTTGTCAAGCCGGTTTGAGGGGGTAGTAACGGTGTTGACCACCACCAGGGAGGAGCTAGGCAAGGTGAAAGAGCTTCTCCCAACGTTGCAAGTGTTTGAGCAAAGGCATGGGCTGTTTGGGGAGCAAGACAGCGGGGCCTCGGGCTCGGCAACGGCGGTGGCCTACGCGACCAGGGGTGGCAACTTGCCGGCAAGGGCAAGTGTACGGCTCCGGAAAGGCTTCCATGGCTTGCCACAAGTGTGGTAAGTTGAAGCACTTTGCAAGAGAGTGCCGGTCCGGGCCTCAAGAGCCGGAAAAGCCCAAGTCGGGGAAGAAGTGCTACATTTGCGGTAGCCCGGACCACTTCAAGAGGGAGTGCCCGAAGAAGGGGAAACCGGGGGCTGACAAGGGGTAGTGTTGAAACACAGCGTTGTTGGAAGTGATATTCAATCAATCAAGTTCACACAAT